ACCCCAAAGGGATCCTTCAAGTAGCCGTCAAACCAAGCGAAGGCCCTGCAACCGGACCCGACACTCCTCCTAGGATTTTGGGCTTCGGGGCTAGACCCTAAACCCTAAACGCGCTAATGTAGAAGCCTTAATAATCAAAATAGGGTTTGGGGGCCCATTTAACTATAATGACAATAAGGAACCCCCAAAATAGCATAGGTAATTATTTAGGCTCCTGTAGTAGACTTCAAGCCTGAGGACGACAAACTAGAACCTTCTACAACTGTCGCATCGCAGAGCCCCCTTCCTCCCCTGGCCATCTCTAAGGCCTCACAAACCCCACAACCGACCAAGTATGCAAGGCTAACGTGCGGCCAACCAAAATCGAATTCTCTGATTTTTCTATCTAAGTAAGCAGCCCCGAAGCCCCCAAATTGCCCAAAGCAAAAAGAGGCCCTACGACGCACCCACCACCCCCTTGAAAAAAAAACAAAAAACACAAAAACACACACACACACACCCCTACAGTCCCGAAAACGCTTAAAGTGCCACACCACACACGCATACGGTAGCGAAAAAGCTTCAGAAACCCCTAAACCCTAAACTCTAAACCCCAAACTGGCTTGTTCTGGAAGGAACCCGCAGCTCGCTCAAGAAGTCAGGGGTACTATAGGGGCCCTAATAATAAAGACAAGTTTTTGGGGCCTTTTGTACTGCAATTATTGTAAGGAACCCCGAAAATAGTGTAGGGATTACCTCGACAACTATCCCCACGTCCCACCTAGCCGTCCGAAAGGCTCCTGTTATATCTTCAGCTCTTCTTTGGTCGGGAGGGGGGGCCTTATGATTCGAATTCGAACAAGCTTTCAGGGCATGTTAAAAAATACTTGTACCATGTGGGGCAGGGACTATAAGGCAGAAACTTAAACCCTATAAACCCTAACCCTAAACCCTAAACCTACAACCCTAGGAGGTCAGACAGCTATATCGGATGCTAAACTCTCACCAAGACCTGCCCAGGCTCACCTTGGATGTCAACGGCCTCTCGACCATGGACAAGTCATCCAGCGTCCAGTCCTTGCTTGGGGTCTAGGGTTGAGGGTTGAGGGTTTAGGGTTAGGGTTTAGGGTACGAAGCTCAAAATAAGAGCCTCAACACTTAGAATGGAGTCTTGGGCCAATCATATGGTCTGAAAATACAGGGGCTGTGCGGGAATACCGCTTGTCACTCCGACCCTGATGTAATGGGGCTTCGGGAAGCTCAGCTTGAGCTGGCTTGCATTGACATTCGGATCTAGTGCTGTGGGAAGCTAGAAGCAGGATTCGATTTACCTACGTACGGCTAATCGAAGACTAGAATCTAAACTGCGCCTAGAGCTACTCATGAAGCTTCTGTAGGTTTCTCGGCTCTTTGACCTTCATAAGGTCAACTGGAATAGTTTCCAGAAAGTTTAACAAATTGAAAATGTGACTTGCAGTCTATTCCTTGGTTCCCAAATATTACGTCTCCCTGAGTGTTACAAACACGTCAGTGGTAACTCAGATTCCAAGTCTAAAGTCTAATAGAGGGTTCCTAATGACTAGACCCGGGTTTTGGGGGTGTATTCTGGTGTAGCTATATCAAGAACCCCTGAAGGAACACCATTAACTCGAAAACCAAAAACAACATAAAAGCAACCCATTTACCCCAATGGATGGTCTTGGCGAATATTCAGACCTGCATATTCAGGGGTTCGAGTCGATCCAATGTAGGGACCTACCTACCTACCTACCTACCTACCTACCTACCTACCTACCTATCTATCTATCTATCTATCTATCTATCTATCTATCTATCTAACTATGTATCTATATAGTGACCAATACTCGGTTGGGGCTCCTCTGAACCCTAAACCCTGCGCACAATATTCTGGGAGTCAGAAGGGGCCCCTATGAGGGGTTACAACCCTTTTTGCAACAGGCTTTCCACTTCGCCCGGAGTTGGAGCAAGCAGCCCAAGCAGCTTTACTGCGGAGTCAGTAACCCCTAAACCCTAAACCCTAAATCCTAAACCCTAAACCGTTCAGGGTGCAACATGTCCCCGAGGTTGTGGCTCTCTCCATGCTGAGGCCGCGACGCCGGGGCCCAATCCGCCGTGCAGCACCTTGCTTCAGAGTTACTCTAGTTGCTTTGCTTTAAAGGCCTTCACAGTTAAAGCACTCTTTTTAAGGGTTATATACTAAACATACTATCGTTGAGGGTCCAGCATCCGGATTAAAGTCGCAACAAGGTTTTCGTGTGTACGATAGTACTAGTATAGCCATCTATATACAAGGAACCCAGGAGTTTTCGCGACTTATTCAAGCGTCTGTGTACATTGTCCCTGGGTTTGGGGCTTATCGGTGCATCAGAGTCTTGCTCAGACTCTTTCCTCCATGCAGCGCTGCAAACCTTCGAATCTTTGAGACACCAACCCGAAAGCACCTTAGTTTAATCAGTTTACCGATAGGCAGGCAAGCCGCTGAAATAGCGTTGCGCCCTGTGTTAGGAGACATGGTATTGTATACTTCTTTATGCGGATGTGCACATTGGTAAACATCATTCAGTTTTGGGGGTTTCCGAAAATAGGGGACCCTAACATAGTACCCCAAATAATAGGATCCTTATTATAAGGACCCCAAAATAGGGTACCCCCAATTTTCGGAAACTCCCATATCCTATAGTAGGCCCTAACCCCTGTTACCGAGTCCTGCAAGAGCAGAGACTCCGAAAGGGGCGGCGAACAGTCGGACGCCCGCTGTGGATGTAAGGTTCCCAGGAAGCCGTCTAACGTAGGGGCCATGATAATTAGAATAGGGTTTGGGGGGGTATAGTATACTTTAGGTATAATAAGGAACCCTCCAAAATGATGTAGGTACTCATTAAGGCCCTTATACTAAGCAAAAAGCTCGAATCACCCTAAACCCTAAACCCTACGAGTAGCCCCTAAACCCTAAACTCGAAACCCCTGAACTCAAAACCAATCCGAGGAGCCAGGACCTTGTGCTCAACCCGTGCCGCTAGAGGCAACCTTGGCCGCTATGCTGGGATCAGGGTGTAGGCTTTCGGGTTTCGGCGCTCACTCCTGGTTAGGGGTTCAAGGGGGTTTGGGTTTAGGGTTTCGGGTTAAGGGTTCCAGAGTTTGGGCATTAAGGCTTCGGGGTTAAGAGTTTAGGGTTGAGGCTTGCACGGTTGCCGGGATATCCCGTAGGGTGTTCCAGCTTACGGATTCGATATTACTCCCGGCTTTCCCGGTGTAGGGTGTCTTGAGGCCTCGGATTGCTGGGTGTTGACTCTAGGACTCTAAGCTGTTGGGTTTTTTGGAGGTGTCCTGACCTCTAAGCACCTACGGCCGAATAACTCCCTAGAGAGACTCCAAACTCCCTGAACTAAAGCATCTAAGTTGCATTCTATTTAACTTCAGGCTCCTAAAACCCTTTTCAGCATGGGCTTGGAGTGTGCGCTAGGGGCCGACAACCTACCCCCTACAATCCCAGGTGTAAGTCTGAATCAAAGCGTGTTGAACTCTCCTTGTCAAAGGTATGGGCCTTAACAATTAGAGTAGCGTGTTTGGGGGCTTCCTTATTATAACCATAGTCTACCCTAAACCCTAAACCCCCCAAATTGAATTCGACTTATTGAAGCCCCTTTCTTCGCTTCCTCGGGCTTCCCCCCCTGCCATCTTCGACTAGAAGAGGGAGTCAGGGCGATAGATGGCCCATGATGGGTAATGTAGTGGCCTTTTGTAAGAAGAATAGGGTTTAGGGTTTAAGGTTTAGGGTAGGGTTTTGGGGCCCCTTCTACTATGGTTATAATAAGGGAGCCCCTATCGGTGGACTTTTTCAAGCTTCCTCAATATCTGGAACTTCAGACTCTGGGTCTCCACGCCTCTCAGAAGATATTAGGATTTAGGGTTTAGGGTTTAGGGTTTAGGGTTTAGGGTTCGATCCCCAAAGAGCAAAACCCTCTCCCTCTCTCACGCGGACTCCGAAAAAGCAAAACCCTAGAACCCTTTTTGGCTCTATAAACCCTTAACTATACACCTCAGAATCTCTCTCTCTCTCTCTCTCTCGCACAGGTACCCTAAACCTTCAACCCTAAACCCTAGAATCTCTAGAACCTAAAACTGCAGTGTTCGAACAAGCTACCTGTCGAAAGTCTGACGAAAACTCGTGTTACTGCTGGCTGCTCCCGCAGCTTTCGAACTTGAATGGCTTCATATTCGTAGAGGGGATTCGACAGGATACTCCTTCGTAGTACTGTTGCTTTTGTATGCTTGTACATTCACGATTAGGGGACTTTGCTACTCATAATTAAGTCAGAACTAGAACCCTAAACCCCTAAACCCCCCAAACCACAATAGTTCAGGGCTTCGGCGCTTTGGGGCTTCAGGCCTTGGATAAAGGGAACCACCTCCGATTGCGCGGCAATCCGCCTTTAAAAACCGAGTAGCTGCTTTTAGGGTGTAGAGTTTACTGACTTTCTTGGGTTTAGGGTTTAGGGTTTAGGGTTACTTGTCCATTCTCCTAGGAAAGCTACAAGCCAACGTTTTGTAGGCTATAGGGTACTGTCTCGACAGCTAAGTTTAAACGACCTGCACCAAAACAAAAACAAACCTGAACCCGTACCTCAAGCCAGAAACTGGCACGAACTGCGCAAAATTCTTCGAAGATCCCTTGCAGTCCCCAAAAAGTCAGACTGTAGATGCAAACCGTCTTCTGGTCAGCAAAAACTCCATCTGGACAAACCCAATCGCGCTGACTTACTCAAACCCCGCTGCCGCAAGAAGAGACTTCAGGCCTACCTAGTGTTGGGCCCTTACTAATCTGAGTATCGTACCAGCGTGTGCAGGTGTACAAGGGGATGCTAATACTTGTGGTCAAGGGCCGCACTAGCATAAAACCTTGAACTTGTAACCCCTAAACCACCTACAACCCAACACACCACACAATATCATGAACTCTCAGCATAAAGCCGAATAGCCCAGATCTTCGAACCTTGCACCTAGCCCAAACCCCAAACACTTTCCAACATCAACAACAGAACATCGGACAGTTTCACGCCAGGGCACCATTCGAAAAGGCCCTGGAAACTGTCGAATATTCTTCGGCCCTGGTCCACGCCCAGTGCTTCCATACCTCGGCGATGGCGTGGTATCTGTTGACTGCTAGGTCCGCAAGTGAATCTGGTTTTCTGTTGGGGCTATATTAAACATGGTTTTTCAATGTAAAATTGTGACCAACAAAGACCCAGGAATGTGGTGACTTTGTGCTGCTATTGCTGCTCCTGCTGCCGCTGCCGCTGCCGCTGCTACCTGCTGCTTCTTCTACTGCACTTCCGCTGATGCTGTTAGTAGTAGTACTCGTACTTGTACTTGTCCTAGTAGTAGTACCAATACTAGTACTACTGCTACCCACAAAAAAGGGAGCATCGCACGAACTCTCTTTGCTACTACAACTACTCCTACCGCTGCTGCTGCTGCTGCTGCTGCTGCTGCTGCTGCTGCTAACTTGATGTCACTGTGGCAAGCTTCTGCACGTCAGCCTTAAAGTCCCGTAGCCAGACACCCGGCCAACAACATCAGAGCGGCGCGATAGATTCTTTTCCTCTTCTGGGCTTAAGCGGCTTCCACCACGCACCCTGCAAAAACATATTCTGTCCGTATATAAGCAGCCTATTTGAAACGGTGTTTTCTGTTGGCGCTTCAAGGCTTCAGCGGCTTCCAGCACGCGCCCTGCCAAAGCATATTCTGTCCGGTATATAAGAAGCCTGCTTGACACAGTGGAGAGAACATGACCTGTGCTCACTCCGCTTTCAGCAGCTGGCAGGCGCATATTGCGAAGAGACAAGATCCTATGACATTCCACAGCGGGCTCGTTTTTGAAGGTGCCTGCCCTGTCAACTGTTCATATGCAAGAAGAGTTCCCCAGGCATCTGCGGCGGCATAGGACACAAATCCTGGCTCCTCGAGCATGTCCTCGCTGGTTTCCAGCCTCCACCAACCTTTCTTCTTTATGCTTTGTTTGCTCCAAGCCACGCGTTGAGGATCACCTTCACTCAAGATGGCCGCAAGACCCGGAGTTGGAGTCGCAGGGAGCCTGGTGATGTCCTGGAGATCTACCACTGGGCCAAGCACTTCCATGGAAGGGAGGCATCTTCCCAGCGACAAGATGTCGTCCTTCCCTTGGCAAACGATCTTCTGGATGCCTTCGTCTGCCAAAAGCTCCCGCAGCTGCCGGGAATATTTTCCAGGAGCCATGGGCACCTCGACCACAGCAACGGTTGGCGAAGCCACCTGCACCATCAAAGGTCCCAAGTGCCCTTTGTGGCCATCAGTGCCTTCACAATCCAAGCCGATCGAGCTGCCATTGGATGGAATGGACTGACGAAGCCGATTGTAAATAGCCGCACTCTCGTTGTCGTCCGTGTTCGGGTCTACAACCAGCACTGCAACGCCCGCATTCACCATCTCATTCTCGAGCTGTTTGGCCATCCTCGACAAGCGCAAATACAGAAACCAACAACAAAGCTGACAACAACATCAATGTAAGCGCAACGTCCCCGGAAGCTTTCTAGGGAATCTTGCGTTCTCATAAAAGCATCGTTCTTCCCGCTTCTATCGGTGTTGGGTACAGCCCATCATCAAGTCGATGCATGCCCGTCATGACGGCAGTGCAAAGCATCACCAGCGTTGCATCTTGCACGTGCCTGAGTCTAAGCATATTCGCTGTCCTTTGCATGCTGCGCATCAACCGAGTGTCTTGAAATTGTCACTTCCTTACAGACGAGTATTTCTCCTCTACCGGTATCATACGGCTGATGATACAAATCTGATCCTGCACGTACCTTAAGGACCTTAAAACTATGGGAATTACCGCCTTGCTATGTGTAAGGTAAGATTTATATCATCAACCTGAATACCGGCAGGGTGTTTGCCAATCCAGGAGCCCTTCTCACCGCGTCTCTCACTGTCGCAGGCGCGTTGCCTTCTTTGGTTTTGCCATGTGGTTGCTTTGGGGGAGCTCCATACTATTCGGGTCGTATCGATGATCTCTGCCCGAAGCCAGGAAGCCACAAACTAACTTTGGGCCCAGAAGCCTTTCAACAACTTCCTCCTTGAGTTCGAGCCTGAGGCCTCAAGTCATTGCCCTCAAAAAACACCGTGCTACCCAAGCTTCGTGATTCAACCCGGCGATCACTCGTCACGGACGCAAAGGGAGGATAAGGACACGCCACAACCCCTCGGAGCCCGCTCTGCTCGTGAGACATGCGGGATGACCTGTTGCTTCACCGTCCTGAGGACTATGATGGGTCTTGGGTTGAGGGCTTAGGGGTTTAGGGGTTAGGGGTTTAGGCTTTAAGGGTTTAGGGTTTAGGGTTCCTACTGCGACTGGAACTTCCGACAGCTACTATTCCATCACCACGACTGTCACTCCGGCCAATATGGGTACCTGGCTATGAACTTCCAACGTCTTTCACGCACCCATGCCGCTACAAAATGCGGCTTCTAACTATTATACATGTTCGAGGTGCGCGCACGGTTTAGGGTTTAGAGAAGGTTGTTGGGGTTGGCGATTATGCGACTTCCCCGAGTATCCACCCAAACCACCAAGAACCCTCAGCCATTCCTAGCCCCAACATAATACCTTTGATAAATAAAGTGGGTTTTGGGGATATTTTACAGCAGACTTATAATGAGGAACCCCAGAAATAGTATAGGTACAGTAAATATGTAGGCCCCTATCTTAGACCCCGAAATCCTAAGCTTCAAGGGGGCAGCAAGCCGAAGGCAACCCAGAATGCTGAGATCTCCGCAAGCTTTGTCGAAGCCAAGGCTGCCTGCACCAGGTTTGGGTTTAGGGTTTAGGGTTTAGGGTTTTGGGTGCAGGGCTTTTAGGCCCAAGAATTTAGGGTTTTGGGTTCAGGGCTTGGAGGCCCAAGATTTTAGGTTTTTGGGTTCAGGGCTTTTACGCCCAAAAATTTAGGGTTTTGGGTTCAGGGCTTGGAGGCCCAAAATTTAGGGTTTGGGTTCAAGGCTTTTAAGCCCAAAATTTAAGGCTTTGGGTTCAGGGCTTTAGGGTTTTGGGTTCAGGGCTTTTAGGCATTGAAATTTAAGGCTTATAAAGTTCAAAATTTTAAATCCTAAAATTTAGGGTTTTGGGTTCAGGGCTTTGAGGCCCTAAAATGTAGGGTGGGTTCAAGGCTTTTAAACCCTAAAATTTAGGCTTTGGGGTTCAGGGCTTTTAGGCCCTAAACTTTAAGGTTTATAGGGTTCAGGGCTTTTGGGCTCAAAATTTAGGGTTTTGGGCTCAGGGCTTGTAGGCCCTAAAATTTAGGGTTTTGGGCTCAGGGCTTTTAATTTTTAGGTCCTAGAATTTAAAGTTTTGGGTTCAGGGCTTTTGGGCCCTAAAATTTAGGGTTTAGGGTTCAGGGCGTTGGGCTTTAGGGCATTGGGGCTAGTGGCACTAGCCCAAGACTCAGGTACTCGGGCTTCGGATAAGAGAGATAGTAGTAATGTAGTGAAGACCCTTAGTTACTATCTTTGCATCGGTTTCGGGTGCCCCTAGATGTACATCGATTGAGTCGGCAACAGGATTCCTGCCGAAACGGCCACTCCTCTAAAATTTTCAATCCCTGGATGCTAAATCATCCTGAACGCCTCATGTAGCGTGGAGGCCGGAACGAAAAAGGCCGGGGCTTTGCCGTCTTCTCAAAACAAATATAGGAAACCAACAAAAGCCCCTATACTGAGCCCTGCCTAAACCCCAACTTCTCCAAAGTAGCGTTAAAGATCTCCAAGGGTTTCGGATCTAGGGGTTTAGGGTTTAGAGTTTAGGGTTTTGCATAGAGTTGTACTACGGTATGCTGCGGTATGCCCAAGAAACCCTATGTTCATGCTTAAGGCCCCGAAAATATAAACTCAATGCCCCATACCCAAACCCCTTCTTTGAACCTTTCATCACCTGTCGGCTCCTCCAAACGATCCGGCCTCGATAAACCTCAAACCCTCTCCAGTAGAGATCCCTCTGAATGAAATCATAACCCAAGACAGTGGACAAGGCACCAACAGTAAACAAGAGCCTTATAATGGTGTTGTTCTCGGAATAGGTGACTCTGGTGTATATTGGGGTCTTCAGGGTGGCCCTTTATTTACTTTGATGGGGCCTGAAGAAATTACATTAGTAAGATCTCACGCTCGCGCAACTCGCACGCAGCCAGACGAGCAGGCCAGAGGTACTGATGTCCAAGTACCTGAAATACCCCCACCCCATGACCTCGGTTTAGGGTTTAGGGTTTGGGGTTAAGGGTTTACATAGTACCTCAAATACCTCCACACAAACACAAAGAACAGCCAGGCCTATCTTCGAAGTTCGCAAATTCTGCTGTCGGTCTTCATGGTTGCCCCGGTTCAGCCAGACCTGGTTCGGATAGATGATCCTTGGCCGCGATGGGCAAAGTAGGGGCCCTTGAGGAATAGAACAGAGCTCCTGCAAAGGATTTTTTTAAGGGTGCCATAGGATTTTTTTAAAAACCATTGAAACGTTCAAGAGGTTTTTTGGGGCGCATGCATGACGACGATGGCATGATATGAACGACTTCCCCCAAGCCTGAAGAAGCTTGCAACCAAGCATCGAACACCAGCAATGACTTCTAACCATTACCTAAACCCTAACCTTAAACTTGCCAAAATGGCTTGGCACGGACTCTCTTAGGCCTGTCTGTTCGGGAGTTTGGGAGCGACATCCCTGAACGCTGCCCGTAGACTGCGACTAAGCCCTATAGGTCGAGACACAAAACCCTGAGCCCTCAACCCAGACCATAAGCTGTGAGCCCCAGACCCGACATGGTCTTTGGGGCATTAGGGGTTGACGATTTGTGCCTTGGCGTTAAGGAGGCGTTAAGGGTTTGTAGGGCTATGTCACTATGTGCGGGAAACATATGCCGAAATGCCGGAAACCAAGCCATGAGACCATGACCCTCTCTAAGAACTTCTTCTGCACTCCGGGCCCTGAAAAACACAAGCCCGAAAACACAAACATTAACCATTATCAACTGAAGCACCGAAGCACCATGTAAAAAGCACCCGGAACCCCCTTTCGATTTCCGGCCAGGCTTCTTCAGGGACAAGATTAGAACCATCACCTGCAAACGACAGGCGACAGGGCCCTTCGAACCTTGCTTAACAAGTCCCCGATACCCTAAACCCGAAGTCGCAAGCCCTAAACGGCCCTAAACCCTTAACCCTAAACGGCCCTAAACCCTAAAGGCTTCAACCCAACTTTGAACTCTACGCCCTACCCCAGCCAACCCGAGGCCTTTAACTTGAGAGTTTCAGGGAGGACTTAGATGTTGATGGAACGCAGAGAGCCGAGGAAACGAGCCCTCCGCCCGCCAGGTTTTGGTTGCTTTCTGAGCTCTTCGTGCTCCCTTCCTTCAGGACGACATGAACTCTCAAAGGGCTAAGGCTCAAAAAAACATGTAGGGCTTAATTGTATTTGTGAGCAGTTCATGAGGGCATCCGTTACATGTTGAAGCGTCATGTGGTCCATGAGGTTGGCTAGAGATAACAGAAGGCGGCCTCGAACGTGCTAAGAAGACAAACCAGACGTCCGCATGCACAGAGACGATAACATCGAGGCCTTAATAGTTAGAACAGGGTTTTGGGGCTCATCATGCCATAATTATGAAGGACAAGGAGCCCCCAAAATAATATGGGCAATTCCCCCTAAATCCTAAAACCCTAAACCCCAAACCCCCAAAATAATATAAGCAATTAGTAAGGCCCCTCTTTTATGTCCGAAGATCCGAAGGCCCGAGCCAAACCATCCCAACCACGAGGGAAGGCCCGGAAAACCTTTTGAGTCGAAATATGAAACCCTAAACCCTAAACCCTAAACCCCATAAGCCCCAAGCCTTAAATGTGAATTATAGGGGCCTCAACAATTAGAAAAAGCTCTTGGGGCCCGCTATACTCTAATTATGAGACGGAGCCCCCCCTAAGATGCTGTAGGTAATTATTGAGACCCCTATATCAAACCCCTTTGAGTCGAAATATTAAGTCCATAAGCCCTAAGCCCTAAATGCACAGGGGGACTCTGCAAGAAAAAGGGTGCAAGGTACGGCCTGGGAGGTTTACGGGAGAGGGGGGGGGGACCTCCAGCTGATGTCGTCCACGATCCACCCAATCACCGTTGAACCTTCGTGCGTCCGGGTCTGGGGTCTTCGCGTTCTGTTAGGGTTTAGGGTTTAGGGTTTAGGATTCACCAAACCTATCCGCATGCAGACATGTGCATGAAGGTCTGATCGTTATGGTCGAGCTTTTGATTACATAGTTGCTGAGTTCATATGCCCAAAAAGTGTACACTTTCAGTTTTGCAGTGGATAACATAATCCTCCCACAAGTGTAAATAAAGTGTACCGGCACGCAGCTACGAAGAATAACGTGCATTCCTGCACCCAAAACCTTCGGCCCAAAACCCCTAAAAACCCTAAAAGCCAAACCCTGAACCCTAAACCCCAAACCCAAAAGAACCCTAAACCCCAACAGCCCTAAACCCCTTGAGCCCTAGATCCTAAACCCTAAACCCAAAAGAACCCTAAACCCTAAACCCTAAACCCTAAACCCTAAACCCAAAAGAACCCTAAACCCCATCCTCAGTTTTGAGGATTCTGGCCGGCTCTGGGCTTCACAGACTGTCGGGCTGGCATGTGGGCCCTGTCGACTAGGATCGGATAGATCTGGAAACTGAAATTCTGACAGAACTGAAAGAGAGTTTGTGCGTGATGTAGCGGCCTTAATGATAAGAATAGGGTCTTGGGCTATAATATACAATAATCATAATAAGGAGCCCTCAGAATAGTGTAGGCAATTATTTAAGGCCCCTATAGTGTATCAAGGAGGTCATAAACGCATGATACTCGCGAGTCTGAAAATTTCCGATGCTACCACCGCACACAAATGCACAGTTGCATAACTCGAGATTGCTCGTCACCCAGACTGGGGAAAGCTACATGTAGACAAAGTGTGACTGAAGTCCTCCAAAAGTCAGAAAATAGCAGCAACAATAGTAGTAGTAGTAGTAGTAGTAGTAGTAGTAAGCAGTAGCAGCAGTAGTAGTATTAGTATTATGTTTCTACCTTGCCTTGAGAATGGCGAAAACTGGCTCACTTTAACAAGTCGGCTGATGTACGGTCCAATGGAGAATCTGGAAGGCAGTAAGGTAGGGGCCTTATTAATTAGAATAGCGTTTTGGGGTACATTATACTATACTTGTACTATAATTATTATTGGAACCCCCCAAAATAGTATAGGTAGTTCTTACAATTCTTAAGGCCCCTATGTTATAATGTCCTTCAGCTCTGCCAATCTACAGCGCACAAGACAGAAGAGTGCTGGCAGTGCTCGATTCGTGCATCTGCCATCTCTCCACAGTCTGCGACAACTGCGAGCCTAGCTACCCAGAGACTCCAATACCCCTTAATTAAGGAATATACCTTAAGTTATGGTAGGATCAATATAACTTAAGTTATAGTAGGATCCCTAATAAGATTTAAGGTATATTCCTTAGTTATTAAGGGGTATTGGAGTCTCTGGGTAAGCCAGTCAACTTTGCGGATGCCCCTTGTGGCCGCAATTATGCACACAGGCTGCCAGGCCACACGGAAAGCAAAGACAAACACAAAGCCCCAACCCGCAGAAGCCCTGAAAAACATCACTATGAACCAAAGAAGCACACGCACAGTGGTCGATTTCTCGGAATGAAAGTTCTCGAGCACAAGAAACCAAAGGACCTAGGAACTTGCTAGGCGTCAGGCTCTCGCACGCAGCCTAGCGTACTCACAATAAAGCTTGACCTGCAATTGGTTTGCAAAAATGCCGACACGGGTTGAGGCAGTAGGGTGGCTTTGGCTCGCAAAGCTTGAGCAGGATGGACTAGGCTGCAGTCTTCGGCACCTTATATGCTGTGAACCCGCGGAAAGATGATTTCAGCCTAGCAGCACGTAGGACATGGGCTCGTCATCGTTTTCTTTCTCCTGATCGGGAACGAGATTCGGCCAGGAGCATGAAACTTCTCGAGTGGCGTTCGTAATTTAGCATTGTAAGATCTGCTACCATTGCAGTCTTTCATAGCAAGTAACAGCAGGTTGCAGTTTATAACCTCGTCGAGCTTCTGGGATTACTCATACATGTGAGTCCAGCGTCGCGCGTCTTCCACATAGCCAGGAAGCCCTTGAGATCGAAACCCGACATTGCAGCTCCAAACTTCCAAGCCCCTGCTTTCTGTGACCCCGACAACTTATTGGTAGACTCGCGAACAGGCGGCGGATGGTTTGGCTAGGAAACTACAGCCAGTCGGCGCTAGTCACAGATCGCCGACCGCAGGCAAATCCTGAAAATCCCCACACCATGTAGGACCCCACCCCCTCCATGTGCTCGCAAAACCTGGGAACATTTCTACAACAAGACAGAATAATGACGATAAACAACCAAACAGTAGCAAGGGCGAAAGCCAAAAATCCTGAGCACCACATCAGCCACAGACCTGCATGTTTTATTTTTGCAGCTGGGCTCACCCTAAACGGCCCTAAACACTAAACCTACAGGCAGCAGCCTCCTCGTCATCATCGGGCCTGCTGTCTTTTTTTGCGGAAGGTTTGGAAGGTTACCAGCCAATATTGGCAGTAGCAGTAGCATTTGCACGTAGAATTAGCAGCAGAAGTAATCGTCGTGGTCGTAGTACTCGCAGCAGTCGCAGAAGTAGCAGCAGCAGCAGTAGCAAGAGCAGATGTCGTCGAAGCACTCGCAGTAGCAGCACGACTAATATAGGAGTATACTGTACTATAATTATAATAAGGAACCCCCTTGAACCCCAAAAATAATATAGGCAATTATTAAGGCCACTATATTCCTGGACGGCAACAGCAAGGAGTCTCTAGCTCGCTCAGGCTTGGGGTTGAGCGCCCATGAACCCTGGCCCAGTAAACTCAAAAAAACCTTAGCTGCCCAGTACCCTGGCCCAAAAAAGTTTAAACTTTTCTCTTAGTAGGGGTTTCATATACCAAAAAAGTTTAAAGTTTACCTATTGGGCTCCTAAGAAACCCAGGAGTCTCGGGTGTGTTTTAGGGTTTCCGTGCAGTTTTTTGGCACGGCTCTGGTTCGACGTGCGATCACACTCCATTCTCGGCTGCACTGGGCTTTCGTGGGTCACTTCTTCAGAAGGTCGGAGTCATGAGTGATTGAACTAGGAGAGTTAGGGTTAGGCTTCGATCTAACACGGCGAGTAGAACTCTTTGATGGCGCTATAGTAACTTAGAGGCGAACATCGTCCCTTAAGCCCAATACCCTGGCCCAAAAAAGTTTCAACTTTTGTTTTTGTAGGGGTTTAATATACAAAAAAGTTTAAAGTTTACCTACTGGGCTCCTAAGTCGTTAAATA